AAAAAAAAAGTTATAGTGTCAGAAACTCACAGGGGCAGTTCTATTCTGTCCCACGTGGTCGCTAGGAGTCGGCATCAACTGGATGGCAGTGAGAGTGAGTGAGTAATAATACCCCCCCACACACACACACAAACCCCGGGGCACAGTGGGTTATGCAACCGCCAGGTCAGCATTTTGAAACCACCATCTCTCCTAGAGAGAAAAGTGAAGCTTTAGACTCCGTCAGTGTTTTAATGCCTCAGAAACCCACACAGGCTGTACATGTCTGTCCTATGGGGCCTCTATGAATCAGAATTGACTTGTTGGCTTGTTTGGTTTGGTTTGGTTTGGCACGCTAATAGAATCTCACCAATATTCTCATTGTAGCCCCTTCTTTATACTGGGCGATCTGAGGCAAGCTATTTAATCCATGTGAGCCTCAATCACCTCTTTAGTATAATGTGGCAGCTATACTTGCTTGAAAATCAGATCATTCAAATGGAAATAAATGCCATAACCTTTGACATGCTTTGAACAGCAAGAAATTTAAAAAATCACACAAAGAAGCATGAACGAGGGGCCCTGTGTTTCCCATATGATCATGAACATTCAACCTCTCACCTGATGCTTGAGAACTTCCATTTGCGTTCTCATCTCCTCTTGGCTGCACTTCACTGCTGACTTCCCCAAATAGTCCTCCGAAGATGAAGAATAATCGATCTTCAATGCATCCTGAAGAGCCTAGGGTGTAAGATAAACATGCTGTGCATCCTAGATTTACCACACCATATGCATTCCTCTGTAGTTGTTACAATCACTGTCTCACATGCGCCAGCAAGATATAATGACATCATTTCTAATACTGATTCAAATGCTTGAATATAATTCTTTTTTGTGATTTCCTAGCCTCTAGATCATTATGTCAGAAACTGCCTTTTCTCCATAAGGATATTTAAGTTGTCCCACCTCCATTGCTGTCTAGGAGGGCTTTGATGTCGGTCCAGCTCCCCTAACCACCCAATCATGAAAGAACAACATATCTACAGACTTCCTCCAAGTTCTCTGCTTCAATCCCAGACTCTCAAGCTGGAGGGAGCATCACCATCCCCTAGAGAGCTGGGGCAGGGCCTGTGACTCTGGCTTGATAAAACACTGGTGCTGCTGGTCCCAAATGACATTGGCATCATCGCCTGGCATCTGACGGTCCCATTCCATTGTTACATGAGAGGGGAGTCCGCAGACTATCCGGGAACCAGGCAGACACGAGATTTGTTAGATGAGGCCGCTTCTCTCCTGCATAGTCTTCTTTCTGCATCCCCTTCTCTTGCCCAACCACAGTCATCTTTATTATCCAATAAGGGTCCCAGGTGGCACAAGGCTTGGCTGCTAATTGAGGGATTGGTGATTTGAACTCAGCCAGCATATCAGTAGAAGGCAGATCTGGCAATCTGCTGTGC